CGCGGCCCGCCGCCTCGCTCCGCCCGGCCGGCCGGGGCCGAAGTCCGGAGTTGCCGCCCGAGCGAGCGCTCCGCGTGGCGGGCCGGGCCAAGCCCTGCCGCGGGCGCTGGCGAGAGGCGCCCGCTCGTGGGCCGGCCGCGACCCCGCGTCCCTGCGCCGGGCGGGCGGGGGCCCGGGCTGGGGGGTCCCTCTGCCAGCAGAGCCCGGTGCACGGGCCTTGCCTGGCGGACGCGCGGTGGCGGTGTCCGTGGACCCGCGTGGCTGCGTCGTGGGGAAGGCCAGGCCGGCGGGAACGGTGCAGCGCGTGCACACAGCGTGTCGCAGCCGCAGGGGCCGTGGCGGGCCCTTTGCAAAGGGCCCTCCCAGGCGTTGCCCGAGCCCCCCGAGCCCCGGAAGGTCTTGAGCCAGGCAGGTCCACCCGGCGCTCCTCCCCAGCTCCTGGACCAGCGGCCTGGCGTTGGAGCGGGCAGTGTGCCAGCAGAGATGGGCCGCTGGCCCAGAGCCTTCCCTTCCAGGCCGAGCTGCAAGGGCTGGATACTCTCGATGCTGCCGTTCTTGGGGGGGGGGGTCCACCAAAAGCCCTGGAAGGCCCCAGCCGGTGCTGAGCCACGGGACTGCTGGGGAGGGGCGGTCCCTGCACGGGGTGAAGGTCCAGGGCTACGTTCCGTTCCGGGAAGCGTGCTCAGAGAGATCCCGGCTGGCAGGGCTGGGAGAGGCACCCATCCGGGGGAGCGGTCGTGGGCAACACAGCCCGTGTTAGTGGGAGCGAACGGTGCCGCGTGTGACCCAGGACACCCGCCGGTTCAGCTTCTGCAACAGTGGCAGCGGCGTGGCCGTCAGTTCCGCTCCGACCATCCCGAGCGGCCGGTTGCTTTTCCCTCCTCCCCTGGTGACAGCCAGCGCACGGAATCTGCTCAGCACCCGGCCGAGGCTGGCGGCGGCACGGAAGGAGTGCAGGGCTGCGCTCGTGTCGCACATGCGGCGCTTGGGAGTCCCCAGGGGCCCGGTGCTCCGCTGTCCGTCCGCCTGGGCCAGGCACAGGCCCCGACTCGCTCAGCAGATGCGCTCTCCGCGCGGAGCCATGTGCACTCCCGGCCGTCCGGGCCACTGCCTTGCCGGAGGGTCTCGCTCCATCTGGGATCACCGGCTGGGCTGCTGCTGCTGTCGCTGCACACGGGCCGTGCTGGCCGGGGTGGACCGGAGCTGCCGTCCCAGACGTCTCGAGGGCACAGGGTCGGGGGAGGTTGCTGTGGGGCCCAGTGCCGGCCCCTGTGAAAGGGAACGGAGCCCCGTTGCACCCGTGCGGTGGGGCAGAGAGCCTCCGGTGGGGCCACGCAGGGCGCCGGCAGGGAGCACCGGGCACCTTCTCTTAGCCAGGGGGAGCTCTGGGTGTGCCTTGGGCCAGGCATGGCCTGCCGGAAGTTCTGCACACTGGTGCACAATTCCCGGGGTCCTGGGGATCTTCCCCTGAGGCTCCCTTTCCGTGATGCCTCCTCGTGACACTCGCGCCTCTCGCTCCTCCAGTTTCCAGAGGGTTCTCCAGCCACGCTTTGCTCTCCGCAGAAGCCCGTGGGCAAGCAGGCCATCCTTACCCAAATTCAGCTAAGCCCGCAGGAGAATTCTTTAAGTGCCTGCCCTCGTTTTGAAGGAAGTATAGTTCCTCAAATTTCCCTTAAAACTCCCTCGGAGGTTGTGTGTGTATGTGCAGAGAAAGAGGGAAGGAGTCGGCTCTGAGCGGCTCACAGGCCAGAAATGTGTCACTTTCCCAGGGCGAGCTGCCGTGCCTGGGGGCGAGGGGCTGGGGGGGTGAGGGGCTGAGCCCTCGCTGGGGGCGGGGGCCGGGGGGGCCGCGTCGCGCGCTTGCTGCGGAGGGGGCCTTCCCGA